ACTGGTCTCGAAATTTCATATTGTAGTTCCTTCAAAATGTCATTCAACCACACTATCTCAGCTGCAACAACTGCCATACTTCGATATTCGGCTTCTGCTGATGATCTTGATACTATATTTTGTTTCTTTGATTTCCAGGATATCAAAGAATAACCCAGCTTTATGTAAAAACCAATAACCGATTTTCGTGACATAGGATATGAAGCCCAGTCTGAATCATAGTATGCTGACAGTTGGTTTTTGCATGTTTTCTTCAGCAATATCCCCTGTCATGGTTCCTTCTTCAAATACCTGACAATCCTCAATGCTGCCTCTAAATGTATTTTCTTCGGTTGTTGCATAAATTGGCTGAGATGATGCACTGTAAATATAATATATGGCCGAGTATGTGTTAGGTATATTAATCTTCCAATTAACCTTTGAAAGGTTGACTTTTCTTCAACCAGTACTTCATCTTCCCTTTGCTGCAAATGTTTATCATATTCCGTGGAGGTAAGTTTCAAATTTTGCTCTAAAGGAGTCAAGCCTGGTTTAACTCCTTCAAGACCAGACTCTTTTAACAGTTATAAAGCATATTTCCTCTGATTCAACATAATTCCTTCTTTTGACCTCAAGACCTCAAGTCCCAAGAAATATTTCAATTCTCCTAAATCTTTCATCTTAAAACTACAATTTAGCATGTCTTTCAATTCATTAATCAAAGCTAAATCATTGCCAGTTAATAGAAGATCATCTACATAAATGAACATTACCACCAATCTTTCACCCTCTTTTTTTTGTGAACATCGAGTAATCAAACTTACTTTGCTGGTATCCTACTGCTATCAATGCTCCAGTAAGCTTTAAATTCCACTGTCGTGAAGCTTGCTTCAAACCATAAAGAGATTTTTGCAGCCGACAGACCATATTCTCCCCCTGGCTACGAAAACCTTCAGGCAACTTCATGTATATCTCCTCAAAGAGATCACCTTGCAGAAATGCATTATGCACGTCCATTTGAAAAAAAGGCCAGTCATTCATAGCATCAAGAGCAATAACAGTCCCAACAGTGACTAATTTTGCTACAGGAGAGAATGTTTCGACAAAATCAACACCCTCCTTTTGATTGTAACCTTTAGCCACAAGACGTGCTTTAAAACACTCAATTGTTCCATCAACTTTATATTTGACACGAAAAATCCATTTACAACCAATGGGAGTCACTCCTTAAGGCGAAAGCACTATAGACCAAGTACCATTTAGTTCTAAGGCTTGAATTTCCTCTTGTATGGCTTTAATCCAAATGGGGTTAGAAACGGCTTTATAATAAGATTGTGGTTCAATAATGGATGACGTGGTAGCAAGAAAATGTTGAGTATGAATGGGTAAATGATCATAAGAAATGTTATGAATAAGAGGGTACTTACAAGTGGAAAAAGAAGAAGAAGAAGAAGACTTATTGGAGCGCACATAATCTTGTAGCCATGTAGGAGGTCTAGATGCTCGAGAAGACTTACGCAATGGAATAACAGAAGATTCTTATGATTCAGGGAAACCCGGTGAGGGAGAATTACCATGAGAAATAGGAGGTTGAGATAAAACCAAAAATTCAGAATCATCCTTATAAGTTTGAGTAGGAAAAAAAGAATCAGAATGTTGAGGAAAACTGAAAGGAAAAATAGATTCATGGAAAACAACATCACGATTGACAAAAAAAACTTTTTTTCAAGATCAAATAAAAGGTAGCCTTTTTTAGTAGAGGAATAACCAAGAAATACAGAGGGAATGGCTCTTGAAACAAACTTATCAGTTAAATGCGTCTGAGTTGCATAGGCAAGACACCCAAACACAAGAATGTGAGACAAAGAAGGGGGCTTTTTTATACAATAATTCAAAGGGAGTAAGTCAGGACAAAACAGAGGAAGGTAACCTATTCATCAGATAATAAGCAGCAAGAACACATTCACCCCAAAATTTCAAAGGAACTTTAGAATGAAAACGTAGAGCGCGAGCAACCTCAAGTAAATGCCTATGCTTACGCTCAGCTACCCCATTTTGTTAAGGAGTACGAACACAACTCGATTGATCAATTATGGCAAGAGATAAAAATAAAGAAGAACAAACCGAATTGAAGAAATTTGACCCATTGTCACTACGAATTATCTTAACAGAAGTAGAAAATTGATTGTTAATCATTTGAAATAAGGCTTTTAAATGAATAACAATGTCACTCTTAAGTCGCAACAAAAACACCCAAGTCATACGACTGAAATCATCAACAACAGTAAGAAAATAACGATGTCCACTATGAGTAGAAACTCCATAGGGACCCCAAAGATCAATGTGAAGTAATTAAAAAGGATGTTCTGTCCTGGAGGTACTTAAAGGAAATGGTAAACATGTTTGTCGAGCCATAGGACACACTAAACAATGTTGCACATCATGAGGATTAAACTTAACAGACTGAATAACAGACAACTTGTGGATTTTATTAATGGCAGTATGCCCAAGTCTAGCATGCTAAAGTTCAGTAACAACAGGAGAAACAGACTTACAATCAGATGAATTTGAAAAAGAAGAAACATGAATAAAAGATGAATTCAAACCCGAGGATGCAAAAAAAAGACTCGAGCAAGTAAAGACCTCCATGTTCCTTACCAATCCCCTTGATCTTTCCACTGGAGATGTCCTGCAGAATGCAAAATCCAGGATAAAACAAAACAACACATCAAAGCTCATTGGTCAGTTTTGTGATAAACAAAAGGTTATTTTTAAAGTCAGCGACAAACAAAACATTATGAATGATGTGGTCTTTGCTAAGGAGGTAAGAACCAGTATGAGTAATAAGGGTTTTTTTACCATTAGGAAAATGAACAAACCTATTTTTTGAAGCACATGCAACAGGATTTATCAAACAAGAGAATTCAAAAGTGATATGATTAGTAGCACCAGTGTCTAAGATCCAACTTATAGAAGAAACAATACTTGAGGCATGTCCCACAAGATTAACCGAGGACTCAGAATCTGGAGCTTGATGCAACAAACTCAATATCTGGTTATACTGTTCTTGAGAAAAGACTGGAGCAGTAGACATTTGAGGAACAGAAGCAGGAACGTGATTGTCAAGTTTTCCAGTAAGAGCCGCTGAGGCATCTTTCTTCCGATCAAACTTGAAGTCAGTAGGAAAACCAATCAATCTGTAACATTGGTCCTTTTTGTGGCCTTTAATCTTAAAATGGTCACAAGTTCCATTGAACCGGCGTCGACCCATACTGCCAAAAGATGCCGAAGAATTAGAATAAAAAATGGTGGAATCATGGTTTAAGGGTATACCAGTAAAATGAGCACGTTGAGACTCTTCTTGGACCAACATCGAGTAGGCGTGATTAACACTCGGTAATGGCTGCATCAAAAGTATTTGACTACGCACAACAAAATATGATTCATTCAAGCCCATCAAGAACTGGAATAGACGCTGTTGAAGAGCGTTGGTACTGTTTTGCTGGGCATTGGCACAATCATAGGAAGGAAGAGGTGCCAAAGTACTATACTCATCCCAAAGGAGTTTCAATTTTGTGAAATACGAGGAAATGGTAGAATCCCCTTGAACAAGAGTAGCAATTTCTCGGTGTAGAAAGTAAACCCGAGAACCATCAACCTTGTCAAACCTTTCTTTCAAATCAGACCATACGAGCGCAATACTAGAGGAAAAAACAATACCAGCTGAGAGATCCTTCCTGACAGAATTGATTATCCATGAGAGTACAATTGCATTGCACTGATCCCATTGTGGTTGAAGCTGCTCCACAAAATTGGACCGACGACAGCCCCAATCAATGAGCCCTAATTTGTTCTTCGCAAGGAGGGAGATGCGCATTGACCGACTCCAAACGATGTAGTTATTAATGCCGGTGAGCCGGTGAGAGACGAGAACAACACCTGGCGTATCAAACGGATGCAAATACAAAGGTTGTGTGAAATCGATCTCCAAAATATCTTGTTGAGGAATCACGTAGAGGAATCGTAGAAAGAGGGGAAAAAACGCGGAGAGATAGCAGAATTGGAATTGGGAATTTTGCACGGGAACAAGAAACATAGATGGACTAGTGTGAAAGAAGCCCAATAACCCAAGAGCCCAAAAACAAACCAACTGATACCATGTTAAAATGCTAGTCGAATAATACTGGAATATACTTCATTTCTTTGCAATATTAAGTTACAAAACCAATGTATTTATACAACAGCTAATTATCTAACTAACTTGTAAACTAACCAAACAAACTAACTAATTATCTAACTGTACAAACAGAAATAACCTCCTACAGCTATTCTCTACAATGTCCCACTTTACCAGAGCAATCTTTGAAGAGTTTTGTGTACTACCCCAAATGAACCGACGTGCAATTTGCTCAATCTTCTCATACTACATGTGTTGACTTGGCAAGAGTAATTTGGCCGGCTAAAGGAATTTAGTAGCCACCCAATTATTCAGCTTTTTACGGACTTTGTTGATAATAAAATTAAACGCGTCTTTAGTGACCCTGTTGTGAAAAAGAGGCATTCCCAAATATTTGCCAAGATCTTTGGATAACTGAAGTCCTAGGTAATTGCACAGGAGAATAGCCTTATCTTCCACCATTTTGGCCGAAAAAAAGACTTGTCTTGTTGACGTTGACTTTATGGTCAGAAAATCTGCTAAACTGGTCAAGAATTGCACCCAGCAGATTAATATGCGAAGTATTGGTTCTGCAAAAAAAGAGTCAGATCGTCAGCAAAAAAAGAGGTGGGATAAGGGTAGCGCCCCTCGAGCAAGGATCATGGGCTCCCAAAGTCCAGCATCCATAGCGTATTGCACACTGTGCCCAAGACTCTTCATACACAGAACAAACAGGTACGATGACAGAGGGTAGCCTTTGCGGATTCCTCTAGTCGACTTAAACTCTTTGGTAAAAGCACAATTCCAAAGGACTTGCATGGTGGACGAGGAAACATACTCCATTATAATTCAATGGATATTCGCCGAACAACCCATGTAAATAAGAGAATCAGAAAAGAAGTTTATTCCGACTCTGTCATACGTCTTCTTAAGGTCGACTTTAGCAGCCAACCAGCAGGCCTTCTTATGCTTCATGGAGTAGATTGCTTCTTGAGCAACAATGATGTTGTCATTAATGCTTCTACCTGCAATAAAGCTAGCTTGGTTCGAGGCAATAATTCTAGGAAAAATTGATTTGAACCGATTAGCGATAATCTTCATAATCAATTTATAAAGCACAGTACAAAGGCTAATAGGCCTAAAGTCGGCATACGTAGCAGGATTATCCACCTTAGGAATGATGACAATAAGCGTTTTATTAAGGTCAGAATCGGTAGTATTACCGTTAAAAATACCTTTAACCCAGTTGCAAACAGAGTCACCAACCGTCTGCCGTTGATTCTGAAAAAAGAGAGTGTGGAGTCCATCTATTCCAGGAGCTTTGAGCGGATTCATATCAAACAAGGCCTTCCTAATTTCTTCATTCGTGACTATATTCTCAAGGCACCGAGTCTCCGCATCAGTGAGTTTGGGGAACCTTCCTCTGACGAGGAAAACACCTGGTCTCGTACCATCTTCAAGGTACAGCTTTTTAAAATAAGTCGAGGCCTCCATTCGAAGGATATTATCGTCAGAACACCATTGGCCATTTATTTGTAAAGCCTGAATGCGATTTGATCTCCGCCTGGTGAGCGCCTTGCTATGAAAGAATTTTGTGTTGCGATCACCGTTAAATACCCAAATGTTTCTCGACTTTTGTAGCCAGAGTAATTCTTCATGGTCAAAAACGTCTTCCAACTTCGTTCTGATTTCAATTTCCTTAGCTAGAAAATTCTCATTTCCTGTCTCGCTCACTTTGAATAGAAGCAAGCACATTTTTGAGCTTTTTTTCCTGGGTGATGTGACCGTAGACTTCTCTGTTCCAAGACTTCAACGACTTAGTAATAAACTGTAAAGAAGCTAGTAATGTACCTTCGATTTTTCAGTTGTTTTGGATGAAATTAGTAAACTCAGGATGCTTAGTCCACCCCGCCAAGAAACGAAAAGGTCTCGGTTAGAAATTAGTAGTCAGTGGCGTTGATTGGAGGAAAATGGGCTGGTGGTCTGATTTAATCCGAGTAAGGTGACTGACAAAGTGAGAGGGTGCAACCTCATGTCACCGGTTGTTTGCGATCATCCGGTCTAAGCGCTCGAAAACACCCGCTCGGTTCCAAGTAAAAGGGCTCCCTTTAAAGCCTAAATCCACAAGTTCAAGATTATCCATCATATCTTGAAACTGTTTACAGCCTTTGCCTCTTGTTTTGCCACCTTTTGTCTCACTTCCCTCCAACAAGGCGTTAAAGTCTCCAGCCAATAGCCAAGGCAGATCATTGTTCGCTTTGATGTTGTAGATATCTGCCCATAGACCACAGTCATGAATAACAGATATCATTGCGGACGTGATAAACTGATGATGGGCAGTCACTACCGTTACCGAAAGCGAGTTATTCCAAAGCAGCCAGATTCCGCCTGAAAAAGCCAGCTGCCTCGACTCTATAGGAGTTGTCATAGCTAATCCGCTCAATAATCAGATCAGCTTTGCATCCACTCAGTCGTGGCTCCACGAGAGCAACAAAATGAGGATTGTGCTCATGAGTGTATTCTCTAAGAACTCGAGGAAATCGCTCTCCCCCGCAACCCTGACAATTCCTAGAAAATAGTTTAAAATTTATGGAAAAAGAGTGGTAGTAATTTACTGGGCACTGCCTTGAGCAATGGCATCCGGCTTTCGCATCGCTTCCTGCAATTTATTAGGATTTTGGATTGTCTCCACCATCTCAACATGACCTGTTGGATGGAAGATTGAGCTTGGTTCCCTCCTTTGAATTTGAGACCTTTGTTCCGCTTACCATGCGGTGAAGCTCTATTTTTCAGAGCAAGGAAGCGTCTACTACTAGAGCTACTCTGGAAAGATGGTTTGTTAGTTTCTGAGTCCTCAAAGAAAGCAATAACATCGTGGAGGTTTGGAGTAAGGGAAGATGGCATTGTTTGTCCTTGTAACCCGAGCGAGTTTTCGAACATGGGGTTAGTCTTCGGTCCCCTGAGCGTTATATTTTGCATGGTTGTGGGTCCCTCGTACCCGGGTTGCTATTCTCCTCATGCATGTGTTCGATTGTTCCTGTGCTAATACGCTCGTGTTCCACCTGCAAATTTAAAGGTAAAGAGTTAAGTGTCAGACTTTTAGAAGCATCAGTGGGATTTGCCTTATTAATTGTAAGAGGCATGTTGGGTCCCATGGCTGACGTAAGTTGGATTGCTGTCCAAGGGAATCAATTCCCTTTACTTGCGTTATGGTTATTTGACTTTTGGCCTTTATTACCACCCAGATTAGCCCCCGATGATTGGTTCCTATAATCATTCATTGGTTCAACTTGATGCAGGTTTGGGGAATTATGAGAGCCCCCCAGACTTCATGGCGAGGATCCTGCTGGGCAGAATGTTACCGTTAGCTTCAGAAACCTTTTCGGCTGGGATAGTGGATTTTCCTTTTTTATGAGCATTAACAGATAAGGCATCAAATCTTGTACCCGAATGCTTAGTTTCCTTATTCTGCTTCGGTTTGTTTGTTGAGCCGGAGTTCGGTTTCCGGCTTCGTCTTTCAACTACCATCCAGGGTCCATAGGGTTCCGACGACAGGGAGTTCGGATCAGAATTGGTACCTCCAACTTGTTCGCCCGAAGTGATTCCGAAATGATTAGAATTATGGTTCGAAGAGCTACAGGTGTTCGGATCCTGGTTCGGACCCTGGCTCGGCCTGGTATGCTCGGGATTTGGAGTATCCGGCTTACACGAATCTTTGAGGTGACCAAAGCGACCACAGGAAAAGCAGATGAGGGGTAGATTCTCATACTCAACCATTTGGATCTTATCTCCAACCACCACTTTGGAAACTAGAGGCTCTGTAAGATTAACATAAACCGCTATTCTGGCGAACCGTCTTCTGTTGTTGGTGTCCTTATGAAAATCAAGTTTAGCTACTTTGCCAACAAGATTTCCTATGCTAGTAAGGATCTTCCTGTTGTACAGATACTCAGGTAGCCCCGGGAGTCGGATCCAAGCAATGACCGTGGTGGGATACGGTTGGGATGTACCAAAATCAAGAGTCCATGGTTGGACTGTGAGATATTGTCCAAAGATAATTCACGGTCCTTCGGCCAGGACTTTGATATAGTCTTCTTCCGACTGGAATCGGGCGAGAAAATAGCCGTTTTCGAGATCCATGAGAGTGAACGGGCGCAGTGGCCGCCAAAGTGCGTGAACCCTGTTATTAAGAATGTTCAGACTTATATTCTTTCCTAATAGTTTGAGAACCATTGTTTTAGCCATACCCGCTTCCATTAATTTATAGGCACGATCAGAAAACTGGATCGCTGGAAGGCCAAATCTTGTACCAGTTGTTATATCCCCATCCAGAATGTTGATCTCCTCCTCAAAAGTCTCGTTGTTGTCCACATTCTCTGTGTTTGTTCGGTCCTTACCAGCCAACACTGCAGCGTAGGAGGGGATATGGTGAACTTGTGCTTCCGGTTCAGGCACTGGCGTCGGGCTCTCCGTGTCCATGGCAATGACTTGGGTAGGAAGGTCACTTGGCTCCTTAAATCTCACCTTCTTGGTTGCGTCATCATCTTCTATTGGAGAAGCAGAGAGGGAATTTGAGTTTTCCATTTTGTATAATATTTTTGCATGGGGCCACCTTATTTTATTTGTGTTGTAGTCCAACAATTTCATTGATGGAACTGAACATCCCTTGAAACATATATATTCAACACTTTAGTGAGAAAGAAAGTAGGTCTTCCCCCATTATTGATTTTTCTCATGTCTCTGTGCAGAAGAAGGATGTATTATGCAAGTGTGGTGGCACATCACATATTCTTCAATTCAACAAAATACCTCTATATTCATTTTCTGCTTAACTTTTCTTTGCTTTACATCTATCTTCATGGTTCCAGCAGATAGGAAAGAGTGGTTTTCATCTGGAAGAAACAGTTTCTGGGAATCCTCACATCCTCCACCTTCCCCTCATTCTTGTTTCAATCTCTCTTATCACTTCAACTAATTACCTTCTTACTTGCTAGCTTGGATGCCACCTATACGTTGTTGGAACATTTCTGGGTAAGGTATTTTTGAGATATTATATGTAAATTAGAATTTTAAAAATTCGGTTTCATCTTGTATTTTCCTCTTTTTAAATATATTTACATATATTTTACCATCAATATTTAAGTTGTAAGTTGTATAATCTTTGTCTCCAACTCTTCAGTTGTTTTGTATTTTGCCGAAAAAGAAGGCCGCAATGATCATTAACCAACACAACCCCGATTTTTAACATAGAAGCTATGTTATGCTCTCTTTAGGTGCTTAATGCCAATAACTCCATTTTTTTTAAAAATTATGACACTAATCTTAGCCAATAACGGGTATTAATAGTATCTTTACATTTGATAATTATAACAAACTCTCTTTTAGCAATACATGTTCTATTTTTGAGTTTAAAAATTAACATGTTTAGTAACTTGAGTTTATTTTTTTAATTAATCTGGGGTGATTGCAAGTGGTAATATATGATTTAAAGACTTCCAATCATTTCACGATGAAAGCTCAAATATCTTGCAGTCGTTGGTGTTTGAACTCAGAACGTCTAACGATAACAATTAACAATCATCCCTTTAATCATTGAGATCTCTTGGTTGCTGTTAACTTATGTTTATCTTGAAATAATTAATACATAAAATAGAATATAAGACCACAAATCAAGCGGCCTCGATGGTAAAGAAATTAGTATTATTCCTTGAGGTCCCAGATTCGAGCTACAGAAATGTCAGGAGTATGAGCGTTTAATATCAAATAATTGAGAGTTATCTTTAAACAAATTATAATGCTATGTACTTTCCCGTATTAATAAGTAAAAAATACTATAAGATTCCCAGTAAAGATCATTGATTTTTTTTATATAGAAAGTCGCTAGTTTTATTTAAAATAGAAAATATCTAAAATTACAATGAAGGTTTACAAGCATAACTGTAAACATAAAATATAATTATGATATTTTACTATTATCATTAAGACAAAAACTAGCCACCTAGATCACATAAGGACCAAAGAAGGAAAATGTTAAAAACCTAACCAAAAAACTTGAATAAAATAAAGATACGAACAAATATGACTGCATCAGTAAACAAATCACAAAAGGGGATGAAGCTACTGAAAGACCACTGAAAAATCACAAATCAGAGTCAAACAACGTGAGAAAACAATCCACGAACGCAAAACGTGCATCCAAATCAATCCAAAGGTCCAAAGCAGGGAAGATCATCATGATAACAAATAAGCGCCATATTGACTAGTCGTGGCGATGTCAAAATCAACCCTGAGAAAAAAGATAAACAAAAACAACAGGAAAACACCGTAAGCTACCAAAAGACGGAGAAAAACATGCCACAAAGACATATATAAACGTGTCATAAAGACATAAAACATGTCACAAAGACGTAATTAGTCTTATTAAAAAAACTAAAAAAACAAAGAAAAAAATAACCGACGTGCGACAACCAATATTAAAACCGGTGTCATCGTCGGGTAAACAAAATTAAAGAAAAAAATTGAATTGATTATAAAGAAGAAGAAAAAAAAGAAAAATAGAGAAGGAAGAAGAAAACAACTAGGGTTTTAGATTATTATTATTTTACTGGCCGGTGGTAGTATTAACCTTAGACTGGTTACTATTTGTTGATTTTTTTTTTCGTTTCTTTTCTGCCACTCTAAACATATTATTTTTATTTAATTGATCTTTTTCTTGTCATATAAAAATATGAATGATTCTGTTTATTTTTATAGTAGGTATTTTTTCTTTCTTTATGTTGCCTCTTCAAATCTAACTGGAGTTTACTTGGTTATGCTATTGATTTATACATGTTTTGAATCTTCCATATCTATTGATAGACATTTACAGAAATTTGATCCGATCAAATTATGATAATTTCGGTCTATCAATGAATCATCATTGCTTTATACTTTTTATGTTAGTAGTGATCTTGTTTATCTTTCATTGTCAACAATTGTGTTTGTTTGTATTTATCATTTGTTGGAATCGTTTGATTGAATTTTTAATTTTTTTGTATAATGTTTTTAAGAGGTTAATTTGTGTATTTTATTATGTGATTAGATTACTATTTTTTTTAAATTTAATATATTTTTAAGATACTTATTCTTTATTTTAAAAACAAATAAATAAACTATTAGTATAAAAATCAATTTCATAATCAATAAAGATAATAATTATATCACCTAAAAAAGTCAATAAATAAAGTCTCATTCAAAGTCATATTATTTTTCAATTACATTTACTGTTTTAATTTAATTAAGCGATTGTATGAATTAAACTACCTTATCGATTAAAGGGATGATTATTATTTCTAAAAGTCTCAAGTTCAAACATATTATATGTTAGGTGCATTTAAACATTTATTGTCAAATAAAATTAAAATCTTTCGAATAAATATTGCATTATAATTGTTTTTAGATTAATAAAAAAATAATTATGTGGGTCAATGTTTAAATGGTCTCTAAAGCCATTGGGTTAGGACTTGATTCCAATTTTCAGCTTCCGGTAGATCTACCTATCCATCACTTCACTCAAGTTCTTTGCCACTCAAATTTTGGACATGAACTTTAAATACGATTATTTTTCGAGACATTATTTAAAAGTAATTTAATTAATTTTAATATGACATTTAAAAATTACTCTGTGATATAAGAGGAGCAGTTCATTTATAACATAATAAAGTAATTACATTGTATATGCTTTCTTAATTTGTACACGCTTTAGTAATTTTATCTTATTTATACGAGTTAACTACACGGATGATCGCTTATGTTGTGTTTTATCCACTCTTAGTCACTGATTTCAAAAATACATAAGATATGCTCTTTTTTGTTTTTATTTAATTAAGATGTGGTTACCCCGAGCTAACTGTCGTTAACAAGAGTTAAATATTTTTTATATAATCATACATTTAGTCTATGTTATTGATATATTATCTCAATTTAGTCATACTTTTAATAAATTAAAATAAATTTAATAATGCGATTGAATGATGCCACGTGTCACCATTCGGTTGGAGGACTAACTTTAATTTAATTTTATTTATTTATTTCTACGAATCAAAGAGTGATATGTGTCACCCTCTAGTTGAAAGAAAACAAAGGAAAGCAAATTAGGGCAAAAAAGATTCAAACCTTAGTCACTTAGGAAACTAAACATGTATTCAACTATTAAGTCAAGATCATTGCTTGGTCTAAAATAGACAACATGATGTATATATATTTTGTATTTTAGTGTATAAATGCTTAAATTCATAATATTATATATATATTAACTTAAAAATATTTTTATATTAACTTATTAA